AGAAAATTAAATTATTAGATTAATATTTTATATTAATCTGATAAACTATATTACATTTCTTTACCTGATATTATAAAGTTTAATTATTTATTATATCTACTTATGCTGACAACCCACATGGACCAAATCCTGTAATAAAAGAAGAATAAAAGATATCATGATCTTAATCTTTAAAATTAAATTATAAGATACTACACTATGAGTTTATTTTCTAACAAAAAAAATATATGAAGAGAAATTTCAAATCTTTTCGATTACATTACTCACAAATGTTAGAAGTTAACTATTAATTACAAGATTATATAGTATCATATGAAAAGAAATTATTTACACCACACATGCTATTTCAAAGGCTACAAATATTACTTAACATTTTTGAGAATAATCTCTTCGTACTTGTGACTCAAATGCCATATAATCCATGTTACAAAGGGAAATTATTCCCCAACTAATTACTTAGTAGTAACTTAACCTGACTGGCTTCTAAAAATCAAAAGTTTCATATCTAACATTATAATAATAGTGCATCAGCGGGGTCCATTGACATCGGAATATGGTTGTGTGACTTACAGTAGCGACTAGTAGCAAGCGAAGTATGCTAACGTAAAAATTCTTTAGCATGTATATCACCATATATACATTGCTGCGATCGCTTCGAAATTCAATTAGACTAAAATATTGCAAAAAGAAGAATGCTATGCAAACGAAAAGAAGTAAAAGAGGCTTCTGACGAAAGTATCAGCGCATACTTTGCGGAACGCTGAAAAATGGAAGTTTAATAATGATGCACATCTTCCTTTCACGATCAAAGTCGAGCATATTAATGGTTATTTCGAATATATACAAATTCAAAATACCCCGTGGATGTATTGCACATACCTATTTAACAATATTTCAATATTCCTCTCAGCTCCATCTCTTATAAATTTCCTTAGTACACAAGTAATATTGAACATTCCATTGTATATCACGACTCACAGATGGAGTTATACGTATCAACTGATCACACAGTAACAGGATATAAAGAAACCTTCAACCATAGAATTATGAATCGCTACTATAAACTATGATTGCTCATATTTTGTGTAATCTGCATAATGCAGAAAAAAGATATTTTTGTGTTATTGTGTATGATTTCGATGAATACGATGAAAGCAGAGAGAATTTACATGGAAAAAATATAATTAATTTTATAAATTTAGGTGGAAGATAACGAATGAACTACGAGAATGGGTAATACAAACTTATGGCGAAGAATGGCTGTTAATAGTTTTAAATATTATCAATAATCAATTGAATTTGTAAACGAAAAATTTTTATTATTTATATCACATTAAAGTTTAGAGTATTTAAAAATATTTCTTCACAATGTATATTATAATATACAAAATTCATGCAAAATGTTAAAAATTGCTACACATGCAAATATACAATCTGTTCTTCAAATTTCTTCAATATAATCGAGATTTCTTAAAACCACTGAAACTTTACCCATAGTTAATATTTCGCAAACGAATTCTAGGGAATTTATGCAATGCTACTGACACTATAATCAAGAATGCATGCAACTTTCTTTATAAAATAGACAATGTGATTAACGAGAACAGATATAACATTTTGGTTACTGCAGACGATATTATGAATGGAATGTATGAAACAATAGCTAACATCGATAACCATCGGTGATTAAACGTATAAAATCCTTGATGGAAAATGTAAAGGGAATATCCATAAAAAGGTGAACACATATATGCATTTTAAAAGTTGTCATCGGCTGTTACCATTTGTTTCTTGTTGTTTTTGAAGAAATGACTTTATGTCCTTTCAGAATTCTACAATTTAAAAAAAATGGGGGAAAAAATATTTACCTTTAATCGAAGCTGTTTTTAACAGATAGGAAGGCAAGAATTTTAATAACATCTTGTAAGTAAGCATTGCATAGCAATATTATTTATACTTTATAAAATTAATCTTCCTATGTATTGATATTATTTATAAAAAATCATTTTCATTCAAAAACAGGTTTTATATGATGATGAGGTTGAACTTTAAAACATTATTACTTGTACTAATAGTTGCAGTATTAAGTTCACTATTGACATCATGGAATAATTGTGATAGCCCATCGTTTTTTAGAAACACTGATTGGAAATCAAAATTTCAGCATAAAGTAAGCATAATTTGAGTCAAATATATAAATTTAACATACATTACTATTTCTATAAAATTATTTGGTGTAGAAATTTTATACAATAATAATATTTATTATTTACTATTATTTTTTTTATATGTATAAAGGATCGAGTAAACTTAGAAACTGGATATCAGGAGATAGATTGTCATATAAATGGTGATTATTCTATTGGATGTCGTAAAGAAGGAGATGAAGTTTACATACCATTTTCATTTATTCATAAATATTTTGAGGTAAGTAGTAAAAGTAAAGTAAATGATTAATCACAAGAAAATACTAATATGTTTAAAATACGTCAGATTTATGGAAAATTAGCCACGTATGATGGCTTAGAAAGATTTGAATGGTTACACAGTTATTCCAAAATCGTTAATCCTAAAGGAAAATATGATCCCAGAGGAGTGTTTATGACCTTTGAAAATTATAATGTTGAAGTTCGAGAACGTGTTAAATGTATTAGTGGAAATGACGGAGTACCAATATCTACTCAATGGGAGAGTCAAGGATATTATTATCCTACTCAAATTGCTCAATTTGGATTATCACATTATAGCAAAAATTTGACAGAACCAGAACCTCACAGGAAAGTGATAGAAGACTCTGATAAAGTTAAAAGAGAATGGATTACACCTCAAGGATCTATTGCATCTAGAATATTTGATAAACATGTTAACAGTCATGTAATGAGATTTGCAACACCAGAAACTAGTACATCTGGTATTACCTTACAATTAGATCATGTACTTGATTTTGTATTGAAATGGGATTTTAATATTAAAGATAATGGAAGCATTATGATCACATTGCAATCTAGAGAAAGAAAAGAAACATACTACCTTCATTATGTTACTAGTAACATAGTATTGCATATATATAACAATCACGTTTACTATGGAATTGGTCAAATTAATCATCAATGGAGAAGATTCACTAGAGACCTAGTAATAGATTTGCAAAAAGGTTTATACTTAAATGATAAAAATAAAAAGAAAATGTCTCGCTCGAAATTAAAGGTAATGTATATACTTAACAACTGCTATAAGATAATAAAAAAATAAATGTTAAGAATGATCTATTTTACAGATCGTGAAAATGACGTTGTATGGATCTGGGATGATTGATAATATAACATTATCTACAAGTGAACACATGGAACAATTCTATGATGCAGCTAGATGGTTTGTTAGTAACCAGAACATTAGTTCTGGTGGATGGGCAAATCCTGTCAGAAGAAAAGTAGCCCCAGGAATGGCTACTCTTGAACCTGGATGGTATTTTATTTTAATAAATTATTTAATTTATGTATATGTTATCACGATATATTTATTTAAATGCATGTTTTCACAGGTATTCTAGTATGGGTCAAGGACATGCAATTTCTGTATTAGCACGAGCATATTATCATTCGGGCGAAGAAAAATATTTGCAAGCTGCTATTAGAGGTTTGCAACCTTTTAAGGTATCCTCTAGCAAAGGCGGCGTAGCTGCAATATTTTTAAGCAAATACGTGTGGTACGAAGAATACCCTACGACACCCTCTTCATTTATACTTAATGGATTTATTTATTCTTTAATTGGTTTGTATGATCTAAAAAGCATAGCAACAGGTAAGGATGCGGTAGAAGCATCTCGCCTTTTTAATCAGGGTATGACATCCTTGAAAAACATGTTAACGCTATACGATACAGGTTCTGGTACTACATATGATTTACGTCATTTTACATTAAAAACGGCTCCAAATTTAGCTAGGTGGGATTATCATTCTACTCATGTTAATCAACTTCTTCTTTTAAATTCAATTGACAATGATCCGATTTTTACTACTACAGCGGAACGATGGATAGGTTACATGAATGGTAAGAGAGCCGCACACAATTAACATACTATCCTTTAGCGATCAATTGATTTTTGCGTTCACTTTTATTTTTAATTTATTGATATTTAATATTTCGTTCCGTCTGCTCTATTTTGTATCATACATTTTGTAAATAAAAAAAATAGTCACAGAATAAAGTGGACCAAACTATACTTATCTTTTTATGTAATTGTTGTTACATGGAAACAGTAACAATCAAATTCGTGACATTTGTTCGTTATTAATGGATGCTGCGTATGTACTTGGCTATCCCATCATAGCAAAATATCAAATTTAGTATTTTATAGTTAAAACTACATATATTTAAAAAGACAATTGTATTATTATATTTAAAAGTAATTTATTCCATTTAATTATAACAAATAAAATGCCTATTTAGAGTATTTCAGATATTTTAAATTAATATTTAGAAAAAGCCATCCCTGAACATGACTTATGAAACTTAATTTGTAGATATAATGGAATGATATATGTAATTGCATTACACGTAAATTTTGTACTTAAAGAATTAAACTCAACATTTAAACTATTTTATAAATATACATTTTTTAATTTCAATGTTATGTATTACATTCCTTTGAGAATTTGAACGTTTTATTTCTAACAAATGTATAGATTAAGATAAATTTCATACCTTTAATGGAAATTATTTAAATTAAATAAGAAGTTGTTTCGAGTAAAAATGTAATACATTTTGAAGTTTTTTTTGTGTATTATACTACTTTTATATGAAATTTTATTAGAACTTATACATGTGTGACACCAATTTAACAAATAAAATGAAATTATTTTATTTATAAATTTTTTGTACCTGTCGATAAATAAGTTTTTTACCTAATTTTCTCCTAAATATATATAATTTAACAAAGAATGAAACTTATTTCATTTAATTTGAATGTATGCTTGTGAATGTGTCTGTTACATGTTGGTACTACTGATAGCTTAGTTTATGGTATATGTTCTTATAGTTTACAAGACAGTTATTCCAATATGTATGCAAGAATTAATATTACATAGCATATAAGTAATTTTAACGATTTTTGTGAGTATTTTTAACGTAGATATTGTTGTTTAATATAAAATTGAAATATTACTGAAATATGTCATATCGAATTATATACGTTTTGAACTACAGAAAAAGATTTTTAAATTCGATTTACGAAACGTATTATATTGTTGTTAATTGCATTTATGACTTAATTGCTAATATAATAAATAGTTTTTTAAATGGAACAAAAAAGCTGTTTTACTTGCAAAAAGATAAGTATTAGTATAAAATTATAATTATTGAATGCGTCACTGAATATAAAAATTTCTATAAGAGAAAATAAGTGAAATGCAATGCATGACAAACATTTTATAACATTTTAACTTTATAATTATCATTTTTTCTATTCTTATATTTCAGGTTAAATTAAATACAAGCGTCATAAATAATAATCGAAATTTAATATGTAAAAATGAGTGGTGGAGTAGTTCCAAGTAAATCAACAGTTTATATTTCAAATTTACCTTTTTCATTAACAAATAATGATATACATCAACTTTTACAGAGTTATGGCAAAATTGTAAAGTAAGTTATGAAATTTAAGTAGCTAACTTTTTAATTCTTTATTAGTTTGTTAAATATATATTTGTATAAATATATTATTTAAATATTTTATATATTTCATTTATCGTGGTATTCTACCTTTATCCTTTCATCAAAAATTGTATAAAAATTATTGTTTACTACATTCTTAATCCTCACATATTTTCAGATTAAATTTTCTTATATATCTTAATTTTTATAAAATATAAAAATTTTCAATACTTAGAGAATAAAAGAAGTTTTTTACATTACATGTACATCAAATAATTTAAAGTATAATTTTATACATATTTCAAGTATAACCTTTTTTATCTTTAGAGTGACAGTAATGAAAAACAGAATTACAAGAAGAAGTCGAGGTGTTGCATTTGTATTGTTTCTTAATCCAGAGGATGCTATTAGTTGCGCGAAAAACTTAAATAACACAGAGGTAAACTGTAATTTTTCTTATGTAATAATATTCATCCTAACTTATTTTTCATACATTACTTTTTAACAGATAGGTGGTCGTACAATAAAAAGTTCCATAGCAGTAGATAATGGAAGGAGTACTGAATTTATACGTCGCAGAGATTATCCAGATAAATCTCAATGTTATGAATGTGGTGAAGAAGGACACTTATCATACAATTGTAGGAACAATACATTAGGACCAAGAAATCCACCATTAAAAAAGATTAGAATTAGAAAAAAACATAAAGCTAATACTCACCAAACAAGCGATTTTAATAAAAATAGTGACAATGAATCAGCAGAGGATAATTGGGATGAAGAAGTAGAAACATTAAGCGCTGCTATTGCGTTAGAGGTAATGTATTAATGTGATCCAAATGTAATAAATATTTGTATTTATTATTTATATGTACATTATAGCAAAGACAAAAAGAATTAGAAAATAATCACAGATTAGGGAATAAGGGATATGAGGAGGAAAGTAGATCAGTTCATAAATCTGGCAAAAGATATAAAAAGAACCAATATTTTAGCGATGAAGAAGATTTTAGTGAATAAGTAAATGTAATAAAATAATATAAGAATAAAAAATTATGATATAATAAAGTTTAAAGAATGTTTAATATTAAGTTTGTAAAATATTGTTTGTATATAGATTTGTAAATTGACAACTCATCGACTTGTGTAGAAATTGAAATAAATTTATAACATCAACTTCAGTTTTTAATTGAAATTTTATTTTGTTTCATATTCAGTAATTAAAAGCAACAAAAGTTATTTAATTAGTTTTTACAATAAATCATGTGTATATACGTATGTATATATTAACATAGTATGTACTATACATGTTATTTTATTTTGCGTTATGTTCTGTTCGCATTTGTAGCTTAGTAGATTGGAAAAGTTAACCTTACAAATGCCATTCGAAAGTCATTAAAAGAAATTTTAATATTACTATTTTCTTTATATTTATAATCTTTAAACTCAATGTATTTCGAATAACAAAGATTAAATATTACCGAAACATGACTGTATTTTGAAAAAATAAAGAATCGAACAATTAGTTATAAATAATTTCAAAATATAACCTCAAAGGATGAAAGATTTTAGTTAATTACAAATATTATACACTATGTCAGGTTTAGATTTGTTAAGTACGTACGCTTCTGATTCTGAAGAAGATGAAATTAATGATAACAGTAAATCTGAGGAAAATTCTAAACGGTATCTGTCTTCTTTGGTTTTTATAATTATTATACTTACGATTTCTTTTAAGTATTCAAATACATTTTAATAAATTGTTAGGTATGTTTATAATTGGAATAACTATTCATTTTTACAGTATGCATGTATTGAGAAATGTATATTTGATAAATTTATTTTTTAACTTTTATAAACAGATTTAACGATTTATACGAAGGTATCACATGCGTGTTCATTATCTATGTTTAGACTTCGCAGATTTAAATTCGAAATAAATAGTTAAAAAAAAGTTCTAGTAAAGTAAATATTTGTACTAAAAAAAATCGTAGAAAATAACTTTTATTTTATAGATTACCTTTGCCTAGAAGCATTACATCATGGAAAGGTGTTCCTCATCATGAAGAAGTAGATGATAATCCATTACAACATGAGGGAAGAGTAAGAAGTTTTAAACACGAACGTGGTAACTGGGCCACGTTAATTTATATTGACTGTTAGTATTTAATAAAGGTATATATGTTTTAATTACAAGAATAAAATCATTATAGCTACTTTAAATTCCAGATGAACCCAGCGAGGACATGCTCTCATGGATGTTTTCAGTTTTGGGAGAAGTGCCAGTTAAATGTAATATATTTTCTGAGCAATTTCATATTAGTCTATCAAGAACTTTAATTTTAAAGTTTCATTGGATTGAATCCTTCGTAGAGGAGACCAAGAAGTTATGCGAGCAGACAGATCAGTTTAATTTGGAGCTTCTAAACGTACGGGCATATACTAACGAGGAAAAAACTCGAACTTTTCTTGGGATAGAATGTATCGATTGTAAAGGAGTCCTTGGTCATTTTGTGAAAAATGTTAATAAGTTGCTTGCCGAATATGATTTACCAGCTTTTTATGAAGTAAGTAACGTATTTTAAACAACGATTATATATGTTATACAAAAGTGCAACAAGTTCTTTTTGATGAAAGTTTTATATTTATTGCTTTATAACATAAGCAATTATAATACGATAATAATGATAATAAATTATCATTTTCCACATTTAGGATTCTTCTTATCATGTAAGTTTTTTATGGTGTCTTGGCAACGAACTGTCAGTTCTAGACGATCAAGCACGCTTTTTGACTATTAAATTAAATCAATTTTTGATTGAACATGCAGAGGCGAGATATATAAATGTCAATAAAATATATCTTAAGATTGGAAACAAGTTATATGTATTTAAACTGAGGTAACAAATAATAATAATTGATACGAATTAAATGTAAAATACTGATAATAAAAAAGTTACACTATAATATAATAACAATTTTTTTAAAACTTTACTTTGTTCTTTTTCCCTGTGTTAGTATACCTAAAAATCTTTACATTTAAGATTGAATTCAAGTAATTCGTAGTTTAATAGGAATATAAAAGTAAATAAATACGATTATTCAATAACAATATATATTTTGTTGCCAGTATACAAAGGCGGGTATCGTATATAAATGTGTGTAAAATATACCGCGTATCCACGATCAACGTGATGTACGGAAATTACATTAATTCTCATCAGACTTCTAAATCGTATAAAAAACACAATATGTCGGTAAACAAATTATTTACAAGTTTTTAGTATTTTTATACAGGAGTTTTATCTAATTATTCATCTTTACAAAAGAAAGCGTCATTTATTGTATATACAATATTATATGCTCGTCTAACGAGTATCGGTTACCTCATAAAATATATTAAGTACACAACAAGGAATGTATTACAAAAGTCTTCGAATTGTATATGTTTAAAATATAATAGCATTGTACATATTTTTATAAATCTAATTGCAAACGTTTAATTACGTAATGTATCTGGATTCTTCTTTTTAAATGATCAGTGTTTATTACTAATAATGATATATGGCGCAATTAGATATATTTGTTTTTTAAATGTTTTTAATATGAGCATCTTATAACGGTTATAATTATTTCGCGACATTTTTCTTCCTTAATAATAAGGCTTACCTTTACCTAGGTTTTCGTTCCTCGCTATGAAATTCCATTTGATCCACTGGTTGATTTCTCTGGTAAACACTTCATAATTGTTGGCTCTATCAACTTCCACACCTCAGCGAGCTATGGCGTATTTTAAATGTTATTTATTTAAATATTTGATAAAAATACTACTTCGATCATTTTCATCCTGATATATTTACGAAAGATCGCAATAAAAATATTTTTCTCTTTCTTACATTTATGAATAACACTTACCAAATTCTCAGTTTTTTTTGCTTTTGTTTATTTTTGATAGCATAAACACGGTAAAAATTATCGTAATAAAGTATATCATAAAATATGTAGGTATCGTGAAGGAATCTTACCTCGGAATGGCCGCGTATTTGAACATTGACAAGACTTTGTAGAACCGTGGCGAGTATTTCCAAATGAGCGTGAACGAGCTGCGTCTCCATGTGTAAACAGTGTAACGAAAAGCAATTTCGCAACTCGACGTTTGCAATCACCGATTCTTGAGCAACCATCTTATTTTCCAGGTATTCGACGGTGTCACTCTGTAAATAAAAAGAAATTTGAGACATTAAAGCAGTTAATAAGAATGTTTTACTTTTGATAATTTATACTCTGCCATAAGACATACTATTACACGATATTAAGCACTATTACAAAATAAAGTCATAATATCTAATAATACTAATACGAGGAAATGGCACATTATTTTGCTTTTGCTATTAGTATCGATCCAAACTCATTCTAAAGCTATAGGTAATAATATGTCACAGACTTTTGAAGTGAAACATGAATGGTATAATAATCAATACAAAGGAGTAAGGGAACTTGTGGAAATGCAACAGCTGCACACATCAGCCTGTTTTCAATTGGGACGAATTATGTAAGACGATACAAGCTCGAGATTATATATTATCACATTTTTCCTCTGACATTAACATAAAAGACCTTGAGCAATTTCCGAATAATCACGTAATGACGGCGCACGCGGTTACAGTGAGTCGAGTTAAGTCACTGGATAAATATACTTTTCTTAAGGCTGTAAATCATCGTTTGCCGTTCGTCCATCTCGAAGGATTTACTTACGTCAGTTCCGCGTATAACGCCCTGCATTTGCCTCTTCTTTAAGGACAACATCGTAGATAATGCGCGCTGATGATCAGCGCTGACACCACGCTCGTGCCTTTCGCATAGGATTCTATGCGCCACTAGCACATCCAACAGGAGATTCAGTCTTTCACATACTCTCGTTTCCTCTCTGACTGCTTGTTGTAGAGCTCTCGTTGAAAGTAGATTAAATTCTCTGAAATTACGAATACATGAGAATTCCTTTAGAACAGAATAAATATATAGTAAAATAACAAAGTAATTAGTAGCTTGGTATCACCTTTTTTATTTATCAAATTTATCAAATTACCCAATTTATCAAATTAGATTCAATATCGAACGAAGTCTCACGTTATCTCGCGTGGACGCTTACTTTGAAATTATGTGGAAGCCCTTCTTCATCTCTTGCCAAATAGTGGAACCACCGGTGGCCCATGCCGTAGTGCCATGAGGTTCTGATGCCAAATTGCTTAATTGCGTACCCAGTTCTGCCATATCTACCGCGTAACTATGCGATCTGATTGCCAGACAATCAGCGATATTCTTCAGTCGAGAAATTCCAAGAAGTATTACTCTGATTTGGTCGCGGCTGTTTGCAAATTCGGTTAATGTTTCCGGTGGCACCAGTTCCTTTGCCCTCGACGATAATTCTGACGTCGCGAATTCATCGGGTACTCGCCTAAATACTTCTCGAATCTTGTGTTGCGTTTCTTCACCGGTGTAAGTAAAGAAGAATTGTACAATGTGGTCTTTGCTCACTACAGGGTGACGAGCGATCACGGTGAGAAATCTTAGCAAAGATCGTCTTCTTTCTTCGAGAAATTGAGAATCCGCTATAAATATTTATATTACAGTTAGTAATCGTGTATCGTTAATCGTATATTAGAACGTGTCTGTTGTAATCAGAATAATATATCTTGCAGTATTTCAAGTAGTAAATTAATAGTCTATTAATAGTCTATTAGTATTATTTTTATTTCCTTCGATATCGACATTCATAGCATCTACCACTATAGAATACACGAAGAAACCAAGACTTTACCTCCTACGATTTTCTTCGGTGGTAATTTCGGTATCAACCTGTAGGGAAATCTCGCCAAGAGAAGTTCGTGCAACGACACGAAGTCGTTGTAACGTCTATAAACGACGGAATTGAATCTCTGCAAATAGAGGAAACTGTTTTCAACCATCCTTCCATAATCGCACGTATCATAGATATTTTATTAATTCCAGCCTCAAGGCGAATGCATTACGTTTCGAAAAAATGAGA